AAGGCGCGAATAGGAACAACTTCTGCATACTACTATAATGTTTCCTAGATGTGTACGTGTAGACCGCTCGTAGGGTGGTAAATGCTATGCCAGAGCACACGATCGGGCTGTACTTGGTATTCTCGCCAGAGCATGATTCTAACCTACAGGCAAGCGAGAGCTCTCGTACGCCAACTGATTATTGATCATTCTTCACCGTGATGGACATGGCGTAGTATGTACATGGATGTCCCCGCGGAGAACCGACAACAGCTCCCAAGGATGAGTACTTCATCGTGTAATTATATATCTGTTATCATTAGTAGTCTATGTTGTCGAGGAAGCGCGCCACGGAATCGCCACCCTCTGCGCTCTCAAGGACAACGAACTCTGAGAGGACGAGTGCAGGGCGTTCTCCGGACATAGAAGGTAAACGCAGAAGCCGTGCGTAGTTGGCAAGATGGTCACGCGCCACGACGACGGCCTTGGGAGGAGTCCACACTCTGGGAGTCCTGCCTCTGCGCGCAGATTTGTTGACATCAGGACGCGAGCCATCCGACGCAGTGAGCGCGAGCTCTCGAAGCGCTGGCCATGCGCGCGGCTGCTGCTTGACGAGCTCAACAGCCTCAGCTCGGTTGAAGGAGAAGAGCCTAAGCTCGCGCTCCCAGTTCTCGTTCGGGAGCCACTTCGGCATGTTGGCGATGTCGATGCGGAGTTCCTCGACCTTTGGAAGAAATGCGAAAACGTGGGTGTAACTTCCCGGAGGGAACTCGCCCGACGCGTCGGGCGTGGCGCCGCGCAGGTACCAATGCAACATACGCAAACGAGTGATGTTCGAATAGACATGGATGTGCGATTTGAAGCACCAGTCGACGGTTAGGCCCACGACAAGCAGGTCGTAAGTTGCGCCAGTCTGGTCTGATTCGATGTTGAGGTGCGCGTTGTCCAGCGGACTGTACGAAGGCGGGCGGATCGGATCCGATAACGGGACATACACCAGCGAGACGACGAGCGGCCCTTGCAGCGTCGACAACTTCGGCGGTGGCTGGGCGAAGTGCCTATCGCCGGTGAGACGGGCTGTCACTGTCCTCAGTGTTGGGCAACCAGCACACAGTTGCTCTAGAGCCTTGAGATTTCGTTGACCTGGGTCTGTCCTGCAGTTGGCAGAGATGTGTAGAGACTGCAAGCGCCGAACGACCGAGGTGTCCAGCGTCAGGTCTGCGAGTACATCGTCCCCTCGATACTCCTCGAGGAGCTTGCACGACAGATGGCGAAGGTTTGGAAGGTTGCGCAGGGAAGCTACGAGCACGTCTGGTGCAACCCGTTCCAAAACCAACGACGTGACCTGCGACAGCGCGGCAATTTCGGTCGATGGTAAGCGCGTCCTGTCCTCCAGAGTGACTACAGTCAACTTGGGCGCGATTAATTGGAAGAGCCCTTTTGGAATTTCATCTGTCAGGCGCACTGACAACGAGCGCAGTATAGGGGCCGGTGCAGCTTGCAAAACTGCCAGGAACCGATGCACCAACGATCGCGCGGGGAGAACGATTCGGAGCTTGCAGACTAGGGGCATGATGCGCCGCAGGGCTGAAGCCAGCGTGATGATGGCTGCTATGAGGTCGTCCCGCTGCCCAGACGTCGGGTCGTACACGCAGATGAAGACGCCAAGGCGGGTGGTCGTGCTGAGCGCGTTGTCCACTGTGTCATGGAATTTTTTAGACACCCTGTCGACGTCGATGGTACCGACATGCCGACCGTCGCGACCGTTTTGAAACGCAACGTGGCGATAATAGTTGGGGTGGTGCGTCGCACAGTTACGCCAGTGCGTCGAGACGGCAGCAGCTCGTAAAACAGCGGGCTGGTCAAGCTGGTCGAGGACGCAGGATAGGACGTCGATGGGCAACTGCCACAGCGTGGGCAGCGTCACAGTCATCGAAGGGCCGCTGTCGCGCTACACATGAAGGATGGGTTTAAGAAAGCAAAGATGCGCGGCGTAGAAATAGGAGTGTGGCACAGCCGTCCGCGTCAAACTCCATTGAATCTCGGGACTTGCGCACTCAAATGAGTCAGGCCGGGCAGACAGCAGAATCCTTGATTAGCGCTAAATTATCTACAAATGACGGAGGCTGGTAACTGAAAAGTCTGAGCCATCACTTCTTCTTCCACCGAGTATCCTCGTCTGGATAAAGTTTGCCTGGGTTCAACAGCCCAAGCGGGTCCACCGCGCGTTTGATCGTCTTCATGACTTCGACGGTGCCAGGACCGAGCTCCTCCACGAGGTACTCCTGCAGATATGCGTCAGCGATGAACGGAAATCATCGGCAAAGCGCACCTTCTTGCCGAGCCCGACACCATGCTCTCCAGTGCCTCGGGACAAGTTCAGCACGCAGGCTTCGCGAGTAAAACATGAGACGTACATGTGCCATCCATTCGGAGGGCGCGCTCGACCAGTCTATGCACTGCTCCGCGGACATTTTCCAATTCCTCGTCGCTCCGGAAGAGTAAGATGGCGTGGAAATTGCCATCACCCACATGTCTGCAATTCGTCAGGACGACCTCGAGACTGGACTTGGGCTCAGGTCGTACCCTACGATGGTCCCCAAAACGTTCGACTGGCGCATATCCTCTTTGGTCTCCCGCACAAGTTCGGGCAGTTTACTTGGCGGAACGCTGCGTGGCCTCAGTTATGATACCAGCTGCGAAGGGACACACGCACCACACGTCCGTCGTCCACGCCCTGCTACCTGGTACGCTCGCAATGCTGCTCCACAAGCAGACCTTTCGCGCGTGCCAGAGCGCCTTGGCGCCCTCGTCGCTCGAGCCAAAGTCCCATCCACTCGCCCCGTGCTTGTCCACGATCTTCTTGACGATCTTGGCCGCCTCCGCAATTGCCGTCTCGGACCCTTGGATCTTGATAAAGAGGGAGTCCTTGACCGCAAACTTGCGCGGGATTTCGCCCGAGTCGTTGATTGCTTTAATCATATTGTCGTCAATGAGCTCGACGCATTCTATGCGCGCATAGTAACTTCAGTCAGTCCGCGAGTGAGGACGGAAGGGGACGCTCACGGATGTTCATGTTGCTCGGACTGTGCAAGATCTCCTGTACGGCGGAGACGGCATGCTCAACGTCCTTGAATTGCGCAACAGCGACGCGAGTCGGAACGAGCGGCGCAAGTTTGAGAGTGGCTAGTAAGGATTTCCGTCAGTTAAGCAGTCTAGGACAGCGTGCGTAGTCTGGTACCTTCTGTCACGATTCCGAGGGTACCTTCGGCGCCAATGAAGATCTTCGTAATGTCGAAACCAGCACTCGATTTGTGTGCTCGCCGCCGAGTCTTGATCACCTCGCCGTTCGGCAGCACGACGGTCTGCTACAATAAGTCTTCATGGAAATGCGCACTATAGTGCCGGCTGACCAAGTTTAAGAACCATTCGCCCTTTGCTGTACCGTATTTCACAGCGTTAGCTGGAGCAAAATTAGCATCGATGTCAGGACCAGGACATGATACGAGCACGTACTCCCGCTGCAACCGGTAGCGATCATGCCTCCAATAGCTGCGCCGGGTCCTGGGTCAAGCTACGCTCATGAGCGTCGGTTGCGCATTGCCGTTGCACATACTGGAAAGAATAACGGGATCCCCTGCTCTTCTAGTGTATGATTGATGTCCTCCCATCGCGCGCCAGCTTGACAAACGAGGTCCGAGTCGTCCTCTGTGTTGACATGTCAGAAAACCGGTTGGCCGAGCTCTATACACTCACGGTGGATCTCCAGAATCTTGTCCATTCCCGACATGTCGATGCATATGCTGCCTGACTTGTACTACAAGGAGGCGCGTGAGTGTCATTAGTGGGATATACCCTGGGAAACGCACGCCACCGAAGTGACCCTCAAGAGACGTTCCGCCAGCAAAGACGGTGAGCGGTATGCGGTACTTGCGCGCAATATTGACAATCTGCAGAGCATTAGTCGTCACGCGAGCATCCGGAACAGCTACACATACCTTCACCACGTCTTCAGTGCTGTGTACAGAAACGACCACGCTATGCGGTGCGCTCTCTGCGCGGTCTCAGCCCTAGCGCTCGCACAACCGTAACTCCTCAAACATACGGTGGTACGAGTTCTCAGAGAATCCGTAAGGTAGAATGACCTCCGGATCGGTCTGCACGTCCTTGAATATGCTCTTAAGCTCGATAATCGCGCTCTGCACGTCCTGCGGGGAGCCGAAGCGCGGCTGCGTCAACGGGTCGTACTCGGCGCTTTCGACTGTCGGTTCCTCGTTCCTCTTGCGCATGAACCAGCCTATGGCAACACCAAGACCAAGTCCAAGAGCCAGCGCCTCGGGGCTACGCGCCCTGCCCTGCACGAGTGGAGGAACGAACTTGCGGGGCGGCGGCGGTGGCGGCATGGACTCTGCGGGAGCCCCACGACGCGTCCTGGGAGGGGGCGTCTGGCTGGCGCGCGTGGTCGAGCTGAATGCGCGCGCATTACGGGCAGAGGACCAGTGTCGCCCGCCGGCGCGTGCAGCAGTCACGATTGTCATGGTGTAAAGCAGACAAATGCGCGCGGGGAAGCCGTTCCGAAGCCGTTCGCGGACGCTTTCCCCCCTAAATAGCCACCCTGGCCAGAACGGACCCTTTTGCCCCAGCGTTCTTGACAAAATCTCGATTGGCCTAGGCAATCTAGCGAAGCAGTAGGTCTCAGATAGAAGCTGAATGTGCAGTGAGACTATTCGCTCCTATTCACGGAATGAACTCCATTTTAGGAGCATACTTTGGCCAAGTACAAACAGCTTTTTAGTACACCAGTACTGTTGGAAACGTTGCAAGAAGTCACGATGTGAGGGAGCGGGATTTGAACCCGCGATTCAGACATCCGCCTAGATGGCCAAAGATGGGTCAGAGCTCCTTGTAACGCCGATATGCGTCAGGCCCACCGCGATGAAACTCACAGCTGGTGCGGTAGGCCTCCTCTTGGATACAGAGGGCAAACCAATATGGAGTAACAAAACCCAGAGCCTTCGTTCGGAGGGATGGCCGAGTGGTTGAAGGCGTCAGACTTAAGTTCTGATTTCGTAAGAAATCGCGGGTTCAAATCCCGCTCCCTTCATCTCCTTTTGCGATGGGTTTTTGCACGAAAACCGCTTACCGGCTGCTTTGCCTTGACTCTGCCGACCGCGGTGTTTCCGTGCATTTTCGGGCGTGCATGGACAAGACGGCATTGGCCCCCCGGGTCGACTCCTCGGCTCCGAGTTTCGACACTCCAAAGGTCAGTTACACAGCGGTGCGCTGTCAACAGGCGGTGAAAGTGTGCGTTTCAAAGGCGGAGTGGGCGGTAGTACAGCCGCGCATGACGGGTGGCAAGGTGTTGCACGCAGCAACGACGATAATCTTGCCGGTCTATGATCGGCTTGCGGTTGCAGGGAGCAACTGTTGGACCCATTGAGCACCGATCAGGAGCTGACGGTGACGACGACGACGACGACGACGACGAGACTTGCACTCTAATACGAGGACTTTGAGCGACGCGATGTATTGCGCTGGAGAGGGAAGAAAATGCGAGGTTTAATTTACTGTGCAGATGAGGAGTGGGTGTTGCAGGTTGGTATCACGGGTGTATGGGTCATATGCGGTAAAGAGACTTTTGCACGCTGTAGGTGCGTGTGAGTAAGGCTATGACACGCGTGGAACGCACGACGCACGAGCATGGAAGGGATGCGTATCAATATCGACGACGCCAGAGGAGTGACAGGCTCATGGCGCTCACGACGCCGACGAGGGCGCCGAGCGCAAAGCCAGTTTGCCATCGTGTATCACGCCATAAGCTGGGGCTTGGTGGTGGAGGCTTCGACGCGTCTAAGGGATATACGCCGCCAAGGTCAATGAAGCGTGGTACGGTGCGCGACTTTTTGTCGGCTGCGAGTTCCCAGCCGTCGGCGAGGAGACGCTCCATGATGCGCTCGTCCATGAGGGCGAGCTCGTCGAGCGACCAGCTCTCGCACACCTGGGACATCCAGCTCATGCGCGCCTTGCTCAGCTCGCCGCCTGTCCCCGGCGCGCGTTGACGCAGCTTGGCGCGCAGGAGCCCGACGTTCTCGATGGCTTTGCCGGCGTGCGGTGGGAGCGTGGCCTCTATGCGACGGCGGATGATGTTGGCGAGCTTGGGCCCGTTGCCGTTGGTGGAGATCATGATCTGCAGCGGGCCCTGGCGTATCTGGGAGCCAAAGTAGAAGTCGCAGAGGTTGGGGATGTCGGCGGCGTTGACGGGGACGCGACGGGCGCGACAGAGCTCGACGATGCGGCGGGAGGTGTCGATGTCGTCTATGCAGGTGAGGACGAGCGAGGCGTCGTCGAGGTCGGCGTCCTTGAAGGCGCGGTCGCGGTAGGAGACGCGTTGCGGGAACTGCTTAATGAGCGCGACGACGGTGGGGTGCAGCCGGTCGCGCGGCGCGATGAGGGAGACGGTCGCGTCGGTGGCGAGCACGGACTGGAGCCTGCCCGCTGCGACGTCGCCGCCGCCGACGACGAGGACGTGTTTGTATTTGAGTTGCCATGCGATGATGAGGGACCCGCCAGGTTGTATGGAGGTCATGGTGAGTGGGAAGTTGATCCGAGTACAAAGACCGGACGTGGGCCGGGCTTGGGTCTTTGCTTTTGTCCACCGATCCCAAGCCATCCCCAGCGGCCAGTCCGCCTTCGGAACCTTTTTCTTCTTCTTCGTTCTTGTGAGTCGCCGCGGTCCCCAGCCTCCAGAACGCCCGCACCGTCCCCCGCACGGGCCCACTCTCGCTCACGTCCCCCGTAACGACCGCAATACCCTGACACCACCTCTCTGCGCAGTGGCGTTGACCGCTTCACTTCGCGCACCATATCCCTCTCGCAATCCCGCTCTCTTTCCTGCAATACCCGCACCAGTACGTTCCACGCCGTCCTGCTCGACGCGCTCTGACTTGATTAGCCCGTTAACGACCAGAATCACCATGGTTTCCAAGCGTCTCTCTGCAGTCTGGGCCTTCCTCGCCTTCTGTCTCCTCGCAGCTGGCGGCATCACTATCGCCCTCTCCATCGTCTGGCGCATGCCCTCGCTGCTCTTCCATTTCGTCGTCGATGATAGCTTTCTCACAGGTCCGTGGTTCGCTCGCTTGTTCGATCCGGTGCGGTTCTCACGCCCCTTTCTCCTTCAGCCGGTTTGGCACTCGGCATCATCTACGTCGCGACCTTTGTCATTGCGCTCATCGCCATCGTACAACCGAACCATGTCACCTCCTTCCTCGCCGGTCTCAACTGGATCCTGCTCCTCGACACTCTGGCCACCGTCGCCATAGGCTCTATGATCTGGATCTCGACCCTCAAGGAACGCTTGATGTACGACGACAAGTTCAACAGCGCCGCCTTTGACACTCGCACGGCCATCCAAGATCACGTATGTCTCCCAGCCATCCATCACCGCCCCCAACAATCGTCTTCTGGAGGCTGACTGCAATCCTTCCCAGTTCCAGTGCTGTGGCTATTTCTTCGGCAACGAAACCCAAACGCAGTACGGCGGCTTCTGCTCGGACGCCACTTTCGCGTCGAACCAGACAGGCTGCGTCACCCCGCTCACGGGCTACGCGGACTACACGCTGAACAACATCTTCACGTGCGTTCCCGTCTTGCCTCCTTATTGCCTACACTACTGACGTTGTATTGCAGAACCGTGCGTTTTGCAAATGCTCAACACCTTGCCGGCCGTCGCTAATTTTGTCTCTTCTCCCGTGTCTGTGCAGATATACGGTTACACAGCGATCCTCACGGCCCTCATGCTCGCCAGCATCTGCGTCATCAACAAGGTCCGTAACGTAACGTCCCGTCTCGTAACCTTCGCTCACCCTTCTTCTGTGCAGCGCGTCGAGGTCGAGCGGTTCAAGAAGATCGACGCCAAGCGCGGCGGCAAGGGCTTCGTCTAAAGCCCCTTCTTTCCCTCTTCCTTTCTTGTTCCCGTCCCTCATGCACGCGCACGGTCGTTGAGGCAAATTAGAGTAGTTGTAGTTAGGTTAGAGAGTCTCTGAGGGCCGCATGCGTGCGCGCGGCCGAATCGTCCATTGAATCCCTTTAGCGCGCTTTTTCTTGCGCTTTCCATTCTTTTCATCACCATACACCCCCCATACCGGCTGGTTCCACTCAACACCACAATTCCTCCACCCCCTGCACCACACAACGTCGCCCAGAAGCAACCCAACCCAGCATTTTACATTGATACCAACCCCTGAACCTCGCTAGTAGTGGTTAATTCTCTCATCATTGTTGTGCTCGGTCTCCCATCCATCCACCACTTGCTTCGTCGTCCACGTTTTTTTTTACGGTCAGGGCTCACTCATCCCTTTTGTTTTCCTTACAATTGGTCTTGTGTAGGAATAGCGGAGTGGCTAGACATCTCCCCGAGTAAAGCGCATTCGCGTCGTGTGTGATAGTGAGTAAGAAGGCGTCAGCGCGGCGAGAGGCATGACCTTGACAGGCATGAGAATCGATATCTCCGAGTCGCTGGGAACCTGGTGGCTCGACGGGATCAGCTTGCGAGACCACTCACGATCCTGACACATAGAACACGCGATCTCTATACCTCAGGGCGAGATGGTGTAGTGGCAGCCATCTCACAAGGTTCGCAACGACGGCGCTGCAGAGCCCGAGTTCGAACCCGCCCACGGTCAGCCACGATCGGATCCGCAGGTCGGAATTACTGTATCAATAGCGATCGGAGGAGGATAGACTACTAACCTGGATAGAAGGATCGGAAACGGAACCTGGACTACTAACTAACTCGGATAGAAAGGGATTGGAAACGGAACTTAATGACTTAATGATACTAACAGAACTAGAACAAATCAGAGGGGGCAGCAAGAGAGGATCGCGGGGCATTGAAAAGAGAAAAATGCCCCGCGAGCCTCTACTCTCCTTTTGTTTTTCTTCCGTTTAATACAGATTTGACCTTTGAATTCTCGCATGTGGTAGGTGTGAAAGCACTACACATGCATTACACCGCGCGAAGAGGCTGCAAGGCCAAGGCCTGTATGCAGCTGGAGCGCTGAGTATGATGGCCGCTGTCAGCAAGTGCACGCTTTCAACAGAACTCTATTCTCCGGAATTCTAACTCGTGCTACCAGACACCGCCGTCTCGGCTAAGTTCTATGTATGATGTTTATTAAAGCTCGTGCAAACGTTGAGGCGTTTCCCTCACCAGTATCTCAACGCACCCATGGCCCCCGTACGGCGCTCCGAATCGCCTTCGAAGAAAGGGAGCACGCGCGGGAGGAAGAGTGGGCCTACTGGTTGGAGTACTGGTACTAGCACTGCGAAGAGGGACTCGAAGGCAGCGAATCAGCCACGCAAGCCCGAGTTGTATGAAGTTGGTGCGTCGATATTCACTTCGTCCGTTGCGCGCAGCGTCTAAGAGATGAGGATAGAATGTATCCTGTGCGCTGAAGTGCACAAAACGCGAACGAAGAGCGGCCAAGAATGGGTATGTGATTGTGGCGAACTTGTCCCGCCACTAGACGATCAAGATGCCACAACGCTGACATTTTCGCGCCCGTATCACAGATGTATCTCGTCAAGGCGCGTCTCTCAGCTTGAAGATAGATGTCTATCTTACAGTATCACGTTACATCCATGTAGTGGTTTAACTTTCCCGACTCTGCCAACTCGTACGCCTCGAAGTTCCACAGGTCATCTTCGACTCACTGAACGGAGTAGATGGGAACTGGCCAAGCAATTTGAGAACGACATCGTGAAACGATTCTGGGCGGACGTACTGCGAAGCGCGACAGAACGGATCGAGCTCATGGAGAAGACGGGCGAGCCAAACCCACGCGAGTACGGTACAGGCAAGCGCTTCACTCCGTCAGACAAGTGGCTCGGTAAGTACGAGGACACTTCCCCGCGATGCTATATCTGACACGTCATCCATAGACAGGCAAAAGCATAACGCAGCTGAAGCCAATGCGATTCCAGAAGCATCACCTAAGAAGGCAAGAGCAAAACGGCGGCGATGACTCGGACTCGTTGTACCAGCGCGCAACCCTTGTCGTCGAATAGTTTATGGGCTGTAGTTTTTGATGCTGCAGGAGTCCACAG